GCAGTAGAGTATATAACCGTCAACCATCGCATAAAAGCCTTTCTGGTAAAATCTTACGAGACTTTTGATTCATGGATTAGAATCATGTTATTAGAACCATTTTTTATTTACGTGTATTTTTTGTGAGAGAAAACACTGTAGCGAACCATGAACCATGATTTTGTGAGAGAAAACACTGTAGCAAACCATGAACTATGATTCAAATCATGGTTTGAATCCTCCAACCAAATATTATTACTACAAAATAAAATAAAAAAATAACAAGCAAAGATCATTTTATTTCTGAGGAAATGCTACCTACCAAACAAAGCCAAATGTGTGGTTTGAACGATGATTGAATTCTTATTTATTTTTGTGATAATGACAAAATTTTCATTTGCACGTTATCCATAATCAACATATCTTATCTTATTCTATGTTGAAAATATAAAATGCTGGGTTCGTTTGGTTGGAGGATTCAAACTATGTGATTCGAACTATTTTTTATTTACGTGTATTTTTTGTGAGAGAAAATACTGTAGCGAACCACGAATCATGATTCAAATCAGGGAACGAATCCCTCTACCAAACGCTAATAATCTACACTTAGGCTCTTTTGCTTTCACACGTCTTTTCCAATTTTTAATTATGTTTTATTTAAATGACCATTAATGCGTCTTTTAAAAAACACGTGCAAGTCACGTGTAAACTTTACCAAATATTTAATGGACGTTCTCTATTAGACTAATTATGAAACATATTTTAAAATTGGAGGAGTCGATTGTCAAAAATTTTCTTCTGAGGAATCGATTTGCTAAATTTATAAAGTTTGAGAGGATGGGAGCAAAAAAGTCTTATTAATTTACACGTGTGAAGTACGTAGTCTTATTGAGAATTTTTTTTTTCTAATCAAACAAAATTTAGTTACATATTCTTTTTCTAACCATACAGAATCCGCCTCATATACATAAAAAGAAATTCACATTTATTTTAATTTTAGTCACTATTAACTAATGGAAAAACAGTCACTTTGTCAAATATCAACATAAATAGTATTAATAAAAATCAAAATTAATTACTATCAAATATGAGGAAACTTAAGACTTGTTCTTTTGGAGTTTAACTTGAGTATAATTCTTGAGTTGAATTTGAGTTATAACTTGAGTTGAACTTATAACTTGAGTTTGTGTTTGGTTGTATACATTTGAGTTATGGTTTGAGATAAGAATATTTTTGAGTTTGTGTTTGAGTGAGTCAAAACTTGAATTTATATTTAGATAGTATTTTAATAAAAACTCAATGCTGATGAAAAATTTTAATATGGTATATGGGTCGGGTTTTATTCGTCTTTTCGTTATCAATGTATAGAAAAAAAAATCATCTCAATTAGAATTAAAACGAAAAAGTTATAGCATTTTTAAGAATAGAAAAAATACTGTTCATTAATTTGAGTTCGAGTTTCTGAACTCGAGTTGAAGGGGAAACTTGAACTCGAGTTTTAGTCCTAAACTCGAGTTTGAACTCGAGTTTAAACTCGAGTTTAAACTTAAAAAACATGAACTCGAATAAAATTATAACTCGAGTTGTCTTTTTTTGAGTTTTTCACTAAAAGAACAAACCCTTAATAATTAAGTTGATTATTCTCTTTTTAAACAGCTAATTATAGTTAAATATAATTATTAAAATAAGCTCAATATAAATTAGATCAAACGGGAAAGAGAATTGCAAAAAACAAAAACAAAAAAACAAAAAGAAAAAAGAAAAAAAAGGAAAAAAGTAGTTAACTTGGGAAAACGACCACAGTGGGAGTCGAACCCACGACCTTTTGATCCGAAGTCAAACGCGCTAATCCGCTGCGCTATGCGGTCATCTGTAGCTTTTGGTTTTGCTATTAATTCCCTTTTATTAAGGAAATGGAGAAAACAAGGTTTCATGAAGATTCAAAAGGTATATTCTAATTATGACTGGCAATTCGGGTAGCGACATGACGATATGATTTGATACTCGCATAAAATTAGGGGTTTAGATTTACTATAAATAGGTTTGAGTCATAATCGGGTTAACACGATTAACTCAATTAATAAATTAGTTAGGTTAGGGTTGACCTCCTAACACGAAGTGACACAAATTGACACGATTAACTATATGTGTCATCTGTAATCTAATGATGTGATGTAACATGAAAGTTTATATGACATATTAAATACAAATAATGTGAATTTTAATATTTGTAGGTAAAATTTATTTATTTTTCTTAAAGGAAAAGATAAATTGACTAATAAACATGTTATACATGTCTTTGCCGTGTTAAATAAGTTATTATTATATTAGTTATTTATTCAATATATTAATTTAAGCGGGTTTATACGGGTTGACATGATTAATAAATGAGTCGTGTTTGGGTTAACATTTTGGACACATTTAATAAATAGGTCGTGTTTGGGTTGATATTTTATGACACAATTAATAAACGGATAGACACGAATACGACCTGCTAACACGAATTGCCACCCTTAATTTCAATTAACCTCTTTTGTTGTCGTTGTTTTCCTTTTCTACCGTCGTTGTTTTCCTTTTGTCGTCTTTTTGCCCGTTCTCATCCGGTGATCGTTGTTGCCATCTTTTAACCTTTTGTTTGCTGAATAGCCATTGATTAACTTGTCTCTTGTTGTTTTTCATTATTATTCTCATTTATTATCGTTTTATTTTATATCATCACTAATGTTAATGCTAATGTCAATTGCATATTTGGCATCAAAAAATATAATATGATAAGTTATTTTCATTTTTATTCTAATGCATAATACTATTTAAAATGCTAAATATACTTTTTCTCATAATCCTTAAGCTTTGAAAGTTGTAAAGTAAACTTTTATTTTTAAAATTATTAGAAAATGCAAAAGTTACAATAATTACATGAAAAAGTAAATATTTCAACTAATAACAATCAAATGTGAAATTTTTCATATGCTGTATTTGGTAAAAAATTAGCCACAAAGTATAGCATATGACTAAATTTGGCACAATAAATAGCTTTATATTGGAGAGCATTTTTTGCACTCAAATGTTAAATTTGTAATTGGCACATCAATTATAATATTTCATTAAAGATGCTCTTTGCGGTGTTTTCCTTTTAAGTTTGCAGTTATCAGTAATGTCATTTGCTTTTTCCCTTCAAAAAATGTCATTTGGTTTTTATTGTCGTTTATTTTACTGGTAGTTCCATCTTTCATCGTTGTTTTGCTATTTTTATGTCATTTTCCATCTTTTATCTTTCCCAAATATTGTCGTCATTTTATTTTAAGATGTGTTCACTTGCACAACTCAAGTCATGATTTGGGTTGTGTATGTGAAAAAAAAATACTATAATAAAAAAGTTAAATTTAAATTTATACAAGAAAAAATACTTTAGCAATATGATTTGAGTCATGACTTAAACATACCCTTAGTATTTTTATTCGAAAGGTTATTTCAGTGTCGTTTTTGTTTCTTAAACTCAATATACTCCTTGCTCTCAATTGTTGTTCACATTTTTGCTCATCTTTTCACCTCTCATTTTCCTTTTTCTTTTTTTTTTTGAATCGATTATCCATTTTTATTTTCGTTTCTACATGCATATTAGCTGTCCGTTTGGTTCTAGTGTCGTTTCCATACATTTCGTTATCATTTTTTTTCCCTTTCCATTTTTTAGATTATTCTTTAAATTTTAGAATCATTCTCAATCTAGTCCTTGAATTTTAAAAATGCACTTTATTTCTTAAATTTTGAATTAGTTCAACCTAACCTCTTTCTATCAAAATTATTATTAAAACTTTATGGAAACAAAGAGACAATGCATAATTATTATTAAAACTTATGGAAACAAAAAGACAGTGCAATGGTGTGATATTTTTGTTAGAATTTCTGTTAAAAATAAATGGAAAAAACGACATGACCATACTTAGTCTCCTTTTCTTTTAATGTTAACAAAAATTCTAATAAAAAGGTTTATAGATAACTAATTCAAAATTTAAAGAGTAAAGTAAAATTTTTATAAAATTTAACGGACAAACTAAAAATGACCTCAACATTCAGGACACGAGTGAGATTAATCTCTCTCTTTTTTTTTTCTTCCCTCTATTTCTGCCCCTTCTATTTATTGTCTCCCCATTGAAATAACAATGCAAATGCAGGTAGAAATTTTGTAGGCAATTCAATATACATGTAATATTGAATATACATATATATTAACCTTCAAAAAAAAAAATACACGTAATATTACGGTACACATAGATAAATTATTTTACGACGCGCTTCAGTTATTCCTGTTTAGAAAGAGAAAAAATATTTTCAAAATTGTTTTTTTTTCCCTCATGCAAAGTTATAGAAATTCAACAAAAGCACACCAAACAAAGTATCCACAACACGAGAAATTGTTCAATAAATTGGTTGGACCACATCGTCAAAATTCGAAGCATGACCGTTCAATAAACAGGTGGTGTACGAATAATGCCTACATTAATTCTATATCAATTAGTCTTAATCTTAAACAATATAACTCTTAACTCTTATAAAAAAAAAAAAAAAGTATCTCAAGACTAGTTTTATTCGACAATAATTAACCCCCAAAAAAAAAAAAGTTATCGTGAGAGGCACCGCCGAGGTATGTTGAGCAAAGAATGAGCCACCAGATCATCGTTAAAAAGTCAACTACTTATTAAATAAGTGTAATCGCAAGTATTATAGCGTTGTACACTCAATTTACTGTCTCCCAATGCATATATCACTCCATATCCGCTAATAAACAAATTTTTTACTATCATAATTATTTTTTTAAGAGATAAAACTTAACCAACCTAATTCTAATTCGCATAAAAGCTATCTCACGTGACATGTGGCGAAACGGACCAGGTCTTTTTAATTGGTGAAATACAAGAGTATGTGCAGAACATTCAGTCATTGATCATTGATTAACAAATCATACAGTGCTATAAAATCTTATCTTCTGATTTCCCTCGCAACAAGACAAAATAAAAGAAAAGTTAACAAGCAAAGATCATTTTCATTTCAGAGGAAATGCAAGCTGCAAGCTAAGCAGCTAACTGCACAATGGGCTTTTGGCCTGTCAAACAAAAGCTAGGTGTGCCATAAGCAGGGAAGATTAAAAACAAGCAGCGTATGATAACTATACAATCATAGCTTTACTATGCACGTCTCGTGTTCCCATAGGAAGATCCCCTAACTATATACTTCTTAACCACAAAGCCAACAATATGCCGAGTTAAAACCTGTCAATCAGGAAACAACCTGGGAGTCCGCGGATTCAGATGAACCTTCAGCTGCGCCTGCTACGTTTTTCAGTTTCAGTGATGTGCAGAATGCTGAAGACCCAGATTCTGAAACATCACCGATGTCCAAAGTGTCTGGTAGATCTTCAGAAGACTCTTCAGTGTGGAGCTGTAAAAGCAGAAAAACATTTTGCTTCTCAGGGAATGATTAGGTACAAAATACGACGATTGGGAGAATTACATACATTCGATATTAACAGCATCATTTGATTGATGTCATTCTAACATGATATTCTTTCTTTTCCAAATAGTAAAGTCATCTTTCCAGGAGACATTGAAATTTATTTAGTTGGTTAGAGATTCCCAGTAGCCTGTTCAATATTTTGGATGTTGATGCTAGGGGTTACAAATAGCCAGAGAAGCAGGTACCATATGCACAACAAGTACTTAAGGTCATTAGAACAAAATTCTTTATCCAAATTTGTGAGCCATTTTGTGGGTCTAAAAAAAAAAAAAGACAAGGTGTATAAACAGTACTCGGTCGACTTAAGAAAATAGAACTTGTACACAGATGAAGTGCACGGACACAAGGCTATAAGAACAGTTTAATTTGAGTTCTTATTGTGCAGAAATTAAAATATACAGATTTAAAGGCTCGACTAAGATAAACTTCTTTTGGTTTCCTTTTAGTTAGAAATGATAATTAACAAGAAATCAATGGCCAGTGATGTGAAACAACATGCTTTACAGGTAAAAAAAAAAAAAAGAAAAAAAAAGGGGAAGGTACCTCAAGTTGTTTCAGCATGTCAACAGTGGCATAAAAGTCTCCGTTATTCACCAAGTAAACATCAGTAAGGGACTGCTCAGATAAACCAGGAAATGTCGTCTGAAGATATGCCAAGACCACGTCAAAGTCTAAGTCCATCATCTGTTTTTCTTCCGCCTCACTCACATTCTGTGACGCTCCGACATATGAGTCGCCTTGACCAAGTTGCTCTGCCATGCCAAGGAAATCACCTCCAAGAACAGCTTTGTGACGGTGCTGGTTGTGGGTAATTTCCACAAGCTGTGAATCTCTTTTGGCGAGCGGAATGTATGCTGCTGCATATGGATTCAAAGTAGACACTCCTCGCTTCATGGCTTCAGTTAATCTAAACATCATCAAAATAAATAAATAAATAAATAAATTAATTAATTAAAAAAATTAAAACTTCTACTATCACAACAACACATCATAAAACAATCTTCTAAATTAATGTCCAACTTCCAAATCCTTTTATGCAAAAAAACCAAACCATACAAAAAGAAATTATAAAAATAGGGATTATACGTCCTAATTTGCTATGATCCAGAGGAAGAGATTTGAATGATCTTTAGTCATCTAATCTTTGGCCTATAATGGACAGCAAAAAGAAGTAATTCGGTTATCATTTTATTCAAGCGTGTACGAATAAAAATCTACTTCTTCGATGATCTAGTAGAGTGATCTTTGATCTAGAAAAAGATTTGACTAACCATACGTATGGCAGTTCAACTACAAAAGATCCAATTCATAACCACATACGGAGATCAATAATATCAGATCAATTAAATTATAATTCCTAAATCATTTTCTCAAGAAAAGAATCTAGCAGAGAATTCTCATAACCAGTGACCACTTTAATCCTAAAACTTTACATAAACGATCAATATTCAAAGAAATCAAGGAGAAAAAAAGAAAAGAAAAGAAAAGCAATCACCAACAATCAATGAAATCAAACACTTGAAAAAGAAAATAAACCGCTAATTCGTGACTGAAATTCTTGATTAAGATAAAGAGAAAAGTAAATCAACAAAATTAGAAAATGAAATGAAAACCTACCGATCTGAGATCTCGAACGAAAAGCGAAAGGTAAGAGCAAGAAAAAGGGATTTTGGTGGAGTCGTATATCAGGCGATCGCTGGATACGCGCAAAAGGCGAATTGGGATTAAATTGGGAAATCCTGGGGTGGTATTGTTGATGGTCGATGGATGGATTGTTTTAAAAGCTAATATAAGTCTTTTCTCTGGCTCGCTCGCATGATAAGGTCGTTTTTTCTTTTAACTGGGTTTGTAATTTGTTTTTTTTTTAAATCATAATAATTGCGTTAAATTAAGATTACATTAGTGCATGTTCAAGAGCGGGGCTTTGTTTGGTAAGTGGGTCCAGTTAGTATTACACTCGTCACGCACTGGCATTTTCTTACTAACAAACAAAAACAATTGGAAAAAATTTAGTGAAAAAAAAAAACGAGATGGACAACGAATTTTTCTCTTCTCTTCTGTTTATTTTATTTTTATTATTAAGTTGACAAACGATTTGCCGTTTTAAAGTTTATCGACTGAATTTTTCCTGTCGTTTATAATGAAACAAACCCCGTGTCAGTTTGACAGTTTCGCTTTCTTACCACTTACAAATTAGAAGTTCGTCTTCAAGAAAAATGATATGTTGATTTTGTAAAATAGAGCTGTCGTCCAGTACCTTAATAACGACATGTCATTTTTGATGTCGTTTTTTATTTGTGTCCGTCGCTTATGAAAACATGTCCTTGTAATTGATAATAATCTATGATAAAAGTTCGTTGTCTCATGGTTGTTAGGATACCATTAGCCGATAAGTTTAAGATGTGTGCTATTTAATAACAGAATAAATTGCGTGAGAGGTTCAAAATCATCAACAACAAAAAAATAAATGTTGTATATATATAGATATATATATATATATATATTCCGAAGATAAGTAACTTAAAGTAATCCTTTATTTCTGCAGGCTACACAAACTACAAAGAAAATGAAACCTAACCATAAATTACAAATTAATCAAAATAATCTGAGAAACGAAATTAATCACAATTAACACAAAATTACAATGAATAAGTGAAACAGATGCACAAATCATTACCAAGTATAACTCGTCATTTGGGGGCATAACTTTTCAACATGCTCAATATCCATTAGCAGCAAAGAGATCACAGCCTTTGGTTAAAACAAGTACCAACAGCTCTGTATGCAACTGGCTCTATTAGTGTCCAAAGCTGTTGGCCAATATACATGAGAGGGAAGCAAGGAATCAATCCGTCAATCAATCCTCAACCTCCCAAAGCGCGTTTTAGTCCTGCTCGTTGCTCAGGCGTCAATCTTGTCGGAAATTTAATATCGAATTTGATCCTCAAATCACCTCTGCCGCCAGGTTCCTTCACTATTGGCATTCCTTCTTTGGAGACAACAAGCTCATAGCCAGGGCTCACAATGTCTGTCACTGGAATTGATAGGCTACGACCGTCAAGGGTGGTAAGATTTATGGTGGTCCCACTGAGTGCCTCGGCTAAGGACACGCTTTGGTTCACAATGAGGTCATTGCCATCTCTCTTGTAAACGTCATGGGGCTTCTCATCAATTACAAAAACAAGGTCTGCTGGAAGTTGGTTTGGCTGCTCATTCCCTTTATCCGGGAATGTAATCTTGGTTCCCTTCTTCCACCCGGGCTTCACATCAATGGTCAATATTTCTGTTTCTAGCACTTGGCGTCTGTAAATTCAAGGCGGTTAAATCTATGGTCAGTTTTCATCCTCAGTCCTGCAGAATCTGATCTAAGCTACAATATTTTCATCCACATCCATGTAAATTCAAGAGATCAGAAATCTAGTGATCTTGTTATCTGACCAGATATGCCAATTATATAAAGGAAAGCTGGCCATATGGCAAGAAAAATGAGTAATGAAATGTCATGTACAAGTTTCACAGAGAAAATAGAGTATAACCCGTAAAACCAATGATTGGTTTCTACGTAGCTCTTATTCACTAGGTTGAGTTCATTTTTGTTCATTCAAACTATTCCTTAATTTGATCCCATGTAAAACAGAACGTATTTACTATGTCAACCAGACAAGAATTGACAACTAGCTGTAATCAAAGAGAAACTAATTAATCTAAACGTACCCATTGGCACCAGCCACGGTCCTTGAGATCTTCATTTTCCTCGTTGATCCAGAATATAATTCCTCAAGGCTACAAGGCAATTTGCTCTCCACAGCCAGCGGTTTCTTTGGAATGACACCCTCACTATGCGACCGAAAGATTTTGTCAGTCCCACCAAAGCCACCAAAAGTTCCTCCTCCATCTGACTGAAACCTCATAGACCTCCCAGGTCCTGATGACCCAAATCCAAAAGGACTACTTCCAAAGAACTCTGCAAATATGTCCTCTGCATTCCTGGGATTGAACCCATTTGATCCACTGCCACTACCATTTCCAAATGGGAATCCACAGCTTCCTGGTGGCGGCATGTCCTTCAACCCTTCTTCACCATATTGATCATAAATCTGCCTTTTTTGAGGGTCGCTCAAGACCTGAATTCAAACTTCCATGCTTAGATTCACCAATTAGCAGTTATCACAAATCCAAATTAACTATCACATGAAAACTTATTCACATACAAGAAAGCATATAGATATAATCACTAAGGAGAGGTTGCGGGCATAGCTTAGCAGTAAATCCACAACAGACTCCATCACAAGCAGAGTTCAAATCCCCTCACCCCAAGTTCAGAAAAATAAAAATAAAAATAAAAATTAAGGAACATTTTGCTGCAAGCAATCGCATACCAGAAAAGCTAATATTTTTAAGCTCCATTTAGTTGCTGACACAATGATGAAGACATGAGAGAAAACAAAGCTCAAACCAACTTTAAGTAGACACATACGCCATCTCCGTCAATCTACATTTTTCTGTTTTCACATCCAATTCTTCCTATAGAACCATGTCTAACACACTATAGTATTTACTCCTCTTGATATTTTCCTTTTCTATATCCCAATAGCACATAATTCTAAGAAAGACAACAGAAATTCTAATAAAGAAAAAACAAAGAAGCAGACCAAAATGGGCAATATTTTTTTCCCCTATTCAGCATTTCCCATTAGTCCAAACATGTTAATAAGCCAATTGATCATAAAAAATCAATAACCCAACAAACTAAAACATTAAAGGATCACAAAAAAGCTGAAAAAAGGGGTTCAAAACTTGCCTCATAAGCCTCGGAGATCTGCTTAAATTTAGCCTCGGCTTCTTTTTTGTCGGTGCGGTTCTTGTCGGGATGCCATTTCATGGCCAACCTCCTATACGCCTTCTTCAAGTCGTCGTCGGTGTCATTCCTGTTCACCTTCAATATGTTGTAATAATCCACACCCATTTTGCGCTTTATGTTTTTCGATCCAAACACACCATCCAATTATCACGATCAGATCCCAATTCAACCAAAAAGTATCAAACTTTGACAAAGGAAGAAGATGATCGGTTTTCGTCGGAATGTTTTGGAAGAGAAGGAGAAGAGAATCCGAATCTACGGTGTCAATGATTGTTCTGTTAGAGAGACTTTTGTTCCTCGTAAACCTGTCCAATTTAGAATTGGATTTTCTTTTCTTTTCACGAGTAAAACCGCGTTTCGTGCTGTGATTTCTTCCCGACAATTCAGCGTAATATTTTCCTTTTTAAATTATATAATTGTCATATTCTTAAGAAAAATCAAAATGGATTGGCCTAAAAATATATTAGGGGTGTTTGATATGCAGTAATCTTAAAGATAAAAATGTGAATCTGTAATATTATCATGTTTAGTATAAGAGTTATAATATTTAGATTCTCAAGAAAGTAATTACCATGAGATTCACTTTCTCTCATTTTAAGGTAATTTGAATACCACCCAACATGATGTTATTCAAATTCTCAGGAATATCAAAATTATGGGAATCTTATAATAATAATAATAATAATTATTATTAAATAATTTTTTTTTATTAATAATATTATTTTTTTTATTAATATTATTATTATGGATCTTCTTCTATGTGAACAACCAAATACAGTAATGTAATATTATTGGGAATTTAAAAAAGATTCCTGTACGAAACCAAACACAAAAATGTATTAATCCTAATAATCATATCACCCTTCATCACTTTCCTGAAAATATGATTCCTACTGATTCCCGCATACCAAACGCCCCCTTAGTATTTATTAAACTGTTTTTTGCCAAATGTGAAACTATTTCTTTTCTAAAGGTGGGAATATTTTTTTTTGGGAGTTTATGCGTTAGTCTATCTATACGAGTGGTCTCAGTTTTTTATTGCTAAATCGTGTTAAAATTACATTATATTAAAAAACATATAAAATATACAAATTTTAATATAAATTTAAAGATTGAAAAATAAGAAATTATTGATAGTTTATTTTTATAAAGATTATGAGAGAATTTTCCATATATTTTTTAGAGAAAAAAAAGTGGGAATATATTCCAAATCAAGGTAAACATATATCAATTTGACCCACAAGACCTTACAATTAGAAAAATCATGTTATGGTAAGCAAATGGCTCTCTCGTTAAACTTATATGTAAGGCTGAAGGGTGATATTACACCTAAATGAACGCACTAATAATTGAGGGCATGTTCTTTTGTCCAAAAAATTTAAAAAAGATAACTCAAGTTTCAACTTTATTCAAGTTCACGTTCTTTTAAGTTTTAATTTTATTCAAGTTCTAACTTTAACTCAAGTTATAACTCAAATTCAACTCAAAAACTACACTCAAGTTATACTCCAAAAGAACAACCTGAGCATATGCACGATTCTCATTACTGATTAATTATCAAAAATAAAAATAAAAAAATTCAGAGTTAACTACAATTGAAAAAATGAATGTCTACGATTTTTGAAATTTGCACGAAAATTTGTAAAATAATTTGTAATAACATTCTTATTTTTTTTAACCATATAACCACCCACGCAAATATATATATATATATATATATATGTAAATGATCGTTTTGTATAAATACTTTAAAACTCCGACCCTTTAAATTTGATAGCAAACAGGCCATATAAAACACCGTTGAGAAATAAATCTCATGAATTGAAAATACAACTTAATACTAGAAAACAAAACAAATAACCTAAACACAGATAAAAAGCAGTGTTACTACAAACGAGAATACACACACTGTAAAAAAAAGTGGAGAAAATAAGCAATGATTTTTTATTTTTTTACGGCACAAATCACAGAATCTATTACCTATTATTAAAGGAGAACTCCTTTTTGAATAGTCCTCTAGAGGAGCTTCTTTATACTGTCACGTCATGCGGTAACTCCTCTATTCTCATTATATATTTTTTTTTCTTTTTACTTTTTCTTATCTTTAGTTTTATACATGTTTTTTTTTAGCTTCTCTTCTAGGGCCTCTTGCTAGTAGGAGTCAGTTTCTTTTACGATTGCTCTGATCAAAATCACATTAAATTAAAAAAATATGTAAAATAGATATATTCTAATACATATCTGACGATTTAATTAAGAAACTAGGGGTGATTTATTTTTTTAAGACCTACAAAAAACTTTTTTTTTTGTAAATATTTTTTTAAAGTTTAAATTTTTACATGTTTTTTAAAATATATTTTTTCACACTTTACTCCATCTATTATCTATTGTCTATCATTATAAGAATGTGTTTTTAGGGGGAGGCTTGCGAATCGTTTCACACATTTCTCCCCCCGCAGTAACTAAAAAAAAAAAAAATTCCTTTTGTTTTCTTTTCCCCTTTTTTTTTCCTCACTTCTTTCTTCCCTTTTTTTTCTTCTACAATACATTCTTTTTTTCTCTTTCTCAAATGTGATCCCGTAAATATTTTTCCCTCTAATTGTCTAATAAAAATAATTACTTCTTATATATGTCCTAATCATATTTTTTAAATGACCATCTCAAATACTTGTTTTGCTATATATGCCAATATTGTTTTTGGTTTCTTTTCTCCTTTTTTCTTCTTCCCCCTCATTTCTTTCTTCCCTTCTTTTCTTCCCTTTACAATATATTCTTTTTTTCTTCTTTCTCAAATGTGACCCTCATAAATTTTTTTTCCTCTAATTGTCCCATTGAATAATTTCTTCTCATATATGTCTCAATCAAAACTTTTTTTTTTTTATGAAATGACCCTTTCAAATACTTTTTTGACTATATATGTCAATAAATAATATTTAATATCTTGTTCTAAAATGTGACTTTACGGACACATTTTATGTGCGATCTTTCAAAATAAATTTCTTCCATATGTACTACTAAATATTTTTTTTACTAATCCACCCCTCTAAGAACTTTTTTCCCTTTTAATGTTACTCTATTTAATATTTTTTCTACTGAATTTAATCGTTAAGAAAACAATGATAAAAAACTATAAAATATTAGAAAAAAGGATATCCATATTTAAAAAAAAATGTTGAATACGCACACGCAAGAATGCGTGATTACGACTAGTCATATATCTAAGGTGTGATTGTAAATAATCTTAAGATGACCTCGGCATGTGGTATTTTGAAAAACATTTCACCTTCGATAAATATTTTTTTTTTAGAATTACATTTGATAAATATTTTCAAAGAACTTTTAATTTTAAATTATTCTTTGAATTTTTATTTTTTAGTAGTTTTAGTTTTAATCAAAAAATCTAAACATTTAACACGAGTAACCATACGAGAAAACATGAAATTTTATAAAATTAATTATGTTATGTGCAATTTTTTTTTACTACAATTAAAATGCGTTGAAAATTTAAATATTTTAATCTTAACGTGTTATTTATATAAAATTTTATAAGTATAAAATTTTATATAAATAACACGGTAAGATTAAAATATTTAATGGAGATGTTAATACTCTTTCATTAATTTTAAAGTGAAATACTTAGAACATCTCTAATACAAATGTTAATATTAATTGTGTATTTAGCACCAAAAAATGTAATATAGTATATTACTTTTATTTTTGTTCTAATGCATAATGCTATTTAAAATGCTAAATTTATTTTTTTCTTCTAATTTTTAAGCTTTAAAAGTTGTAAAAGTGAATTTTTATTTTTAAAATAATTAACAATTGTAAAAGTTGCAATGCTTACACGACAAAGTAAATATTTTAACCAATAACAATTAAATAGTCAAACTTCTAATATGTTATACTTGGTGAAAAATTTATCATAAAATATAAAATATGAGAAATTTGACATAATAAATAGCATTGCATTGGACAATATTTTTACACTTAAATGTTAAATTTACAATTAGCACATTAATTATAGTATTGTATTGAAAATGTTTTTAAGGAGTCTTTACAGCTTGTTCTACTATTGGGAACTATATTTTTGCTGTTTTATTAATTTTTTAACAGTTAAATATACAGTATGAGAAATTATGTGATGCACTATAAATTTTAAATATAAACCTATATGAATCTAACTATTAAAAAATTAATTTAATGATTATAAACAACTATTTCTACCGTATAAACAAAATAGGTTGCTGAAATGCTTAGCGACTACTACTAAAACATACTTGAAAATTGATGGGGTTGTTCTTTTAGAGTGTAACTTGAGTGTAGTTTTTGAGTTGAATTTGAGTTGTAACTTGAGTTGAAGTTGTAATTTGAATAAAGTTGAGTAAAATTGAATAAAGTTGAAACTTAAAAGAATATGAACTTGAATAAAGTTGAAACTCGAATTGTCTTTTTTTGAGTTTTTTTGAAAAAGAACATGCCAGATAGTGTTTAACAAAATTTTTAAATTCTAAAAAAAACAACTTATTTTTCCTTAAAAAAGCAAAATTTTTATTATTATTGTTTTATTTAAAGTTCTGTTAAAATACACAAAATCATTGGTTCAAAAGAAAAAAAAAAAAAAAACACTCACGTAAAAAAAAAAAAGAAAACACAGAGTCCCCAAGCCTCGTATCTTTTGTAAGCATCTGGTGAAGCTCTGAAGCGAGTCCTTTAGCGGCTTCTTCTTCTTCCCCTGGAGAAGCCAAACCCAAGAGATTCTACACTTCTTCCGTAATTTATATTTGAACTGTAAGATTCTTCATCTCTCTCGATCTGGATCTCCTTTCTTCTTCTTGCGGAACCAAGTCCAAAAGGAATTCAAAACGGAGGAAAATTCTCACGCACCAGAATTTCGTTTCACTAATCCAATAATTGTTCTCTGTTACCTTCTGGGCCTGTTCGAATTTTCAATTCCAAAGCAATTTTTCATCGGAGTGAGTGAATTGTCCGGTAAAATCCTAGATCGGAATCCGTAACAGGCTTGGGTTTCGGGGACATCGACATTGGAAGGGAAATCGGACTTGTTATGGATTCCGAGTAATTTTATTCTCTTGGATTTGAAGTTTTTTGCGGATGTGTCGAAATTGATGGTTCAAAGATCGTTGCTTTAATTGGGGGTTTGAGAATTTGGTACGAGGATTTGGGAATTGGGGTTTTCGAATTTTTGAGGAACTTTATTGGTTTTGGAATTTTGAGGAATTTTTCTTTTTTCTTCTTCTTCTGGGTCATCGCAGTCATGTTCTATGGTGCGGTGGTATGGGACCCTTGGCTGATTGTTGCCCAAATTGTTTGCCTTCAATGCGCGTACTACCTCACTCTTGGGTTTTTCTTGTCAATTCTCGTTTGGACTCGCGTTTCTCGGATGAGTCTGGTGTATTTTCTTGACTTCTCTAGCATCACTGCTTCCACGGTAACTGGCTGGTGCGTCATTGCTTCGTTTCTTCTCAGTTCACTTGCTTGGTGAGAATTTCATTCAATCGAATCTTTTTTTCTTTTTGGTTTTTTTTTTTTTTTTTTTAATTTTTATTTCCACTTAGCGTATTGTCTGTATACAAGTTGTGATTTATGAACAACCGCACCAGAAGAAGTTGTGTGAGATTTGATTCTATGGTGCATAGATGGTTGAGTTTATTTAGCTCATATATGGATACGAAACTTGAGTTGGGTCTATTCTAAAAAAAAAAAAACAAAAAAACAAAACTTGAGTTGGGTCATATTGAAGTAGATTAGGGAGTTCTTGGTTGCTTGATCTGCTTTGCTAACGTCCGGAAATTGTATTTGTTTATACAGTGCTGGATATCTGGTTTTTATGATTGAGAGGGCGAAGAAATGCCTGGACTTTTCGGTTACTCTCTTTGTCATACATCTTTGTTTCTGCATGTTATATGGTGGTTGGCCTTCTTCAGTGACATGGTGGATTGTGAATGGTACTGTAATTGCAATTATGGCTCTACTAGGAGAATATCTCTGCATTAAACGCGAGTTGCGGGAGATTCCAATTACACGGTTGCGTTCAAGTAAGGACTTTTTCCCTTATACTTAGGCTAGCTAACTAGAAAGAAACTGCTTGTATTTAATAAACACTGTTTCTTTAAAGAGTTAATTTTATTGGGAAAGAGCGTAGATTTTTATAGTGTTTATGGTCAAACTAGGCTACTTAAGTATTCTGCCTCGATGAAGAGAATACAGTTAAAGCAATACTCTGCTTTTATCCTTCTGCCGATTAAAACTAGAGAATCTAGATCTTTAACTGATGCAGTATATGAGATGGAATTATAAAATGTAGTGGGAATACAAAAAACCTTGCAGTTATGCTTGAAAGTTTAGAAGTCTAAACCTTTGAGAATTTAGTATGGTATTATTTTGGGGTTTTACAGTTCTAAGAGTTTGGATTTATTTTAGTATTTATTTTTGGATTTTGGAATTTTAAGAGTTTGGGTAGTGAATGTTGGGCCATCAAGAGACAACAAATATATAAGATGAGTGTGGCGGAGATGCGTATTTCAAGATGGATGAGTGGTCATACGAGGATGGATCGCATACGGAATGAAGTTATTCGTAGTAAAGTAGGTGTAGCACCAATAGAAGATAAGGTGCGGGAAAACCGTCTGCGGTGGTACGGGCATGTACAACGTAGATAGTTAGATGCACCTGTTCGTGCTTGGGAGAACATCTAAATACCTAGAACTAGGAGAGCGAGGGGTAGACCAAGAATTACTTGGGCCGACGTAGTTAGGCACGACTTTCAAGAAACGATAAATCCATATAGCCGACCCCAATTAATTTGGAATTTAGGCTTGTATTTGTTGTTGTTCGAATTTTAAGAGTTTGAATTTATTTTAGTGTTTATTTTGGGTTTTGAATTTGAGCGGTTTTAATTTTAGTGTTGAGTCTTGAACATGGATGGGTTTGTAGGCCTATAAAGGGGCTTATAATCTTAAATTTGAGAAAGAAGTGATTTGTGAGTTGTTTAACTAAAATAGAGAGCGCTTTTCCTTCCAACTCTTTCGACATTCTGCGGAATGAATGAGTGATTGATGCCTATGTTCCTGGTATTCTGTGTGAATCGTCAGGTTTATGGATGCACTCTGGATTGGTATTATGGGGAATTAACGGATCTTAGGAAGATTTACCCTTAGTTTTTTAGGCTTCCAATTCTGTTGGCATTCTGCGGAATCAACGAGGGTGATACCTATACTCCGGTTATTTTGAGTGAATTAACAGGTTTATAGATTCCCTATTTCCGGTATTATGAGGAATGAATGGATCTTAGGAAGATTTAACACACACACAAACACTTATGCCGTGTTTGGAATTGTTCTTATTTTTGTTTTTCACATTTTTCAAGGAAAAAAGAAAATGATTCCAATACGGTGTTTGGCACAATTAAAGACAAAAAACGGAAATGAAAACGATTTTTTGGTGTAGTGTAAAATGAGAGAGAAATGAAAAACGACTTTTAGTCATTTTTCATTTTTTGTTTTCGTTTTCTTCTCTCGAGAGCAGAGAGAGAGGCATTAATGAGTTTTTTTATATTGAAAACAATCTCTTGATAAAACTATCAAATGCATTTTCAAAAATGATTTCTGTCTGAGATTGAAAATGTTTTCATTTCCATTTTCATACAAAAAACAAAATCATTTTAGAACGAGTTCCAAATGCGCCCTTAACTTCCACGCCGCGTGAGTTGGTATCAGCGACTTGCTACACTTCTTCACCATGTCTCCTCGCTGATGTCTTGACACCCATCTTGACATGCCTGCCGAGTCATTGGCCTTTCTCCAGCAATAGGAAAGAAATGCAACAGGTTGATACAACCTCTCCGTTGCATATTTGTTCAACTGATCTACCTTCATTGAAATAAAATAAAAAAGAAATGTTAACAATTTGAAGGGATTGCTAAAAGAGCCGTTTTCATTTGATTTACTTCCTGTTGAAATCCCTAAAGAAGCATTAGTGGACCTAGAATGAGTGTAAGATAATCATTCCATGATTGTTGTCGACTCTCTGCAATATCATTCGTTTAGAATTACTTTCTGGATTAATTTCGGTTGGTCAAGTCATTTATATGAGTGCTTTCTTTCATGCAATGCAGATGTTTGATGGACGAGGAACTCGGAGAGAACCTAATTTCTTGTGGGATTTTTATTTCCCTTTCTTCATTGATTTAGGGGAACTTTTGGACAAGGCTCAACAATTCCATATTTAATCCGTGACTTGAAGAAAAACACCTTATTCTATAGATTTTTTTTTTTCCTTATTCCGGTTCAAAACGACAAAGGACCACAAGTATAAAAGTTCTCAAGGCATTCGCATTAGAGTGGGTGTCCGTTTTGTTACATTTTGTTAGGAAGCTCTTTTTAAGTGTACAATTGTAGGTGACTCGTAGTAAAGCAATGCGTGTTTCTCTTTTTTTATTATCTTCTGCCTCTTGGCTCTTAATTTGTCGGTTTTAGTTGTATTTTTATTGTCATTTTAGAGGGCCATGTGTAACTACCTCTAACTGGCTTGTGTTGCTTATTTTGTTTTCAAGTCTTTTTCTGGTTTATTATTGATTTTTGAATAGATCTCGTATTGGATTATTGAATAGATCTCGTATTGGATTATTGCGTGTATTAGTGACAATGGCAAGCATTGATTTCCGTGGTTTTCTCATAGTAAATATGTCATAAACTCGCAGGGAAATGTAGTTGTTGTTATTTCTATTAATATCCTTAGTATGGGGTCCAATTCTCCACCCAAGTTTGGAAAATGGAAAAAAAAAAAAAAAAAGAAAGATGTTTTGAAGAGAGCAATTGAGAGCCTTTTTTTAAAATTAAAAAAAAAATCTATTAAGGGGATAAGAATTTGAAACAAAAACCTCAGTAGTGGTATTCTACATTTTCTTTACTTTTTAGTTCACTATACCCGCGACCACTGATGGTGGTACTGGTGTCTCTCTTTTCTTTTATTTTCTTATATATATATATAAAGGCAGCTATACTCACTTGTAGCCAAATAACCTAGATGAAACATAAATTTAGCAGAAAGGAACAACTTTGAAATTTTCATTGCATGGTACATTTGATCCTAGCCAAAAGAGGCTACAAGGAGTATCTTATCTTAGAAAAAAATGTAAAAGTCTCGCCAGACAGAGCTAATGTTTCTCGCCTTCATTTCTTAGACATGCCGCGAAAATGTTAAAGATACAAGGAGGGGAAATAAATAAACGAAAAGATTTTTTCCCCAGTAAATACTGTGCCTAAAAAGTAAAATGTAAAAACTGCCTCCCAAAGTTATCTGTATACCAACAAGTGTGGGACATTTCTTGGTCCTCTTGCCACTTGTCCTTCCGTGTAGTCAATCATGTCTGAGCTTGAACCTGAGCCTTACAAAGTGATGAAATATCCCCTATAGCTTCTCCAACTGTGAGATATACTCCATTGCATCCAAAGGCTTCCAAAGCATTTGATTGTTGTAGCTTTTCCATCACAGTTCCACCAGGATTTGCCAACACAAGCTGATAATATAAATCAAACCCACATATTAGCACCAAAACATAATTATTTTTTCGCACCCCAAAAAAAGGTAGACCAAAAAAAAAAAAAAAAAAGGTCTTCTCTTGAGAAACAATGAAAAGAAAATTTTACCTGAAGTGATCTTTTGTCTAGCATCTTTTTCAGCTCACGTATCATGTCTATACCACTGGTGTCTATTGCAGTCACAGCTGAGGAAGAATTAGTAAAATTGTAAGTGAAAGAGCAAGGCAAAAACCAAAAAACATTAGTGAGTTATTCTTATTATGAAATCATATACCTGTCATGTCCAAGATTATGCATTTTAATGTGCTGTCGTTGGTTGCTAGTATCCTCTCTTCTTCCTCTCGAACCCATCTTAATATCCTGCGCTTGGAAGAATTCCTCAAATCAGAAAATCGTGATCGAAAATATATACACTTACAAAGATTTGAAGAAAATACTAGCTAAAAGGGGATCAGAACTGACCTTTCTTGGAGGTAAGTTGAATTTGCAAAGTAGATGGGGGATTCAACAGCAAGTATGAGAAAAGAAGGAACTCTAAAAGCTTCTCTGTATCTGGTGAGGTTCTGGTATATTTGGGTCCCTGGAATATTTCCTAGAGCCATAGTGTTTGGCCTGGTCACATGGAGGAGAATCTTGAAAACTGAGACTCCAACCTGTAGTACATTTAAAAAGAAGTGTAAAAATGCTGATAATATGAATGACTAGTGATGATAAAGACGAGATATTTTCAAAACAAATGGTGATATCTTACAGCGATGGCAAGACCGAGTGGGACAGAAATAAAAAGAACGCCAAAGAAGGAGGCTAAACAGGCCAAGAAATCGAGCTTGTCAACTTTCCACAAGCGATAGGCAGACTGATAGTCGATTAGTCCGATCACAGCGGTTATGATGATGGCTGCTAAGATGACATTGGGGGTGTAATAGAAAAGCGGCATGAGAAACAGCAGGGTCACAAGCACAGCTGAGGACATAACGATGTTAGAGACAGCTGTTTTCGCTCCAGCGTTGTAGTTCACTGCAGATCTAGAGAATGACCCTGAGAGAACAGAACACAACTATTAGATGTTGCTAAGGACCAAACTTCTAAAGAAATGACCAAGTGTGAGGAAGATCATAAATACCTGTGGTAACATAGCATGAAGAACAAGAACCGGCTATGTTCATAAGCCCAATGGCTATCATTTCTTTGTTTCCATCAACTTGGTAGTTTTCCAAAGATGCAAATGTTCTTCCCACAGCAACTCCTTCCTGGAATGAAAAAAAAAAGGCCTTACTATTACTTCTCGCGAGAAATACACTCATTAGAAGTTGTTTATGAAACCGAAAAAGGTGTGGTTTTGGATGACTTACAGTAAGAGACAAGATTCCAGTTACGATTCCAGTTTTGATAGCAACCCCAAGATAGTGTCCACTGAAGTATAACATGTTTGAAGAGGGTGGATTAAGGCCCTTTGGAAGATGGCCAATCTGATAGAACAACAAAAAAAGGTGGTTTTTCATCAAGAGAAGCTAAGGAGACAAGATTTTTCAAAAAAGTATTAAGATGCCAATTCTTACTACTGAGATGTGTGGTGACTTTGACTTCAGAAGGAAAACTATTAGTGTTGAAAGAATAACTGATGTTAATGGGGCAGCTGCTGAAATCCAAAAGAGTTTTGGCTTTCTCATGCTCTGCAACAATAAGTTAACATTGTTATTTCAAGAAGTAAAAGAATTAATGTGACTAAATATTTTGTGCACTACTTTACTAGGACTTGTAGCGGTACTTACTATGTGTCTTGTTGCCAGCAGAAACACTAGGAATCCGAAGCCTATTACAATAGTTTGCCAAGACCACTGCACATAATTTGGCCAAGGTTAGTGAAAATTTTAACAGTTGAAAAATCATTTTCACTTAACTATGTAACCCTTTTAACTTCTCCAACCATAACTTTGCAAAATTAAGAGAATAAAGAATATTCTGAAGAGCTAAGTTCAAAAAGAAAAAAGGACTTGGCACTTGCTTATTTAGAGAATAAAGGGTAATCTAGAAGTCTACCCGGTTTATATAAAATACATATTATCGAATCTTAATTAAAGCAATGATAGTAATTTGGCACCAATTTAGGTTGGTTTATTCCCCTATGTTGCGTATTCCCCCCCCTTTAAAAAAAAAAAAAAAAATGAAAATTGATTGACCTTTGGGTAGCCATTTTACCTCATTTCTATTGTTGAAAACAGAGGACATAACAGGAGCCAATTGCATTTTGCTTGTAAAGTGAACAATTCCAAGCAACCCTTTAAGCTGTTGTAGCGAAACAATGACTGCTGCACCAGCCATGAATCCAACCAAAGTTGCCTTTGAAAGAAAATCAATTATGAAACCCAACCTGTTAAAAAAAAAAAAAAATCATCCAATAAAAAATAAGCCAAATGTAAACACGGGAAAAAAAAGGCCTTAAAAAACACCATTTTTTGCTGAATTCTGTCACGATCATTAAAATTTGTCACATTTTTTCTAGTTAATATTACCTTAGAAGACCTAAAGAAGACTGAAAAACACCAGCAAAGAAGGTGGCAGTGAAAGCCAGCTTAAGATAAAGATCTGGCTGTTGAACAGGAGAAACTGCCTCACTTAACATTGATCCCATAACTAAAGACGCTATTGAAACTGGGCCAACTCCGAGATGTTTTGAACTCCCCAGAAGAGAATATATCAGAGGCGGTACAAAACTTGAGTCTGCATGAAATACATAAGGTTGTTAATTAACATTCCATTGCATGAATTTCAGTTTAGTTAAACTCTTTTGCTTTGTTATTTTTTGTAATTTTTTTTCTATTTGTGTGGAAATAGACAAGAGTTTGTATGATTTTTGATATACTAACATAGACCGACTATGGGAGGCAAATCTGCAAGCTTCGCATAGCTGATTCCCTGCAATTATTAAGAACTTAATTAACAAGAATATATATATTAAGAAAATGAAAAGAAAAAAAGAAAAAGACCAGCAATGATCTTAATGAGCCAAAAGACAAACTAGTCTTAAAGATGCCCAGAGAACATTACCTTATGGCAATACATAAATAACATCCCATATTAATATATATATATATATAGAGAGAGAGAGAGAGAGAGATTGATATAATAAAATCATTCAACCGTGGCTTAAAAACAAAATCAAAATATAATATATAGACATTTAGAGAGAGAGGAATCGGGAAATTATATGAAAATGAAACCCAGAGAGACCCCAGAAAAAAATCCAAAAGAAACGGAATATATGCAGACCCGCAACACGACTCACACTCCTTTGATCATCATCACTGGAAATGACAAGACAAAAGAAAAGAAAAGAAAACACCATTTTTCTTTCGTCTCACTAATAATAATCCCGTGAATACGTTCTGTTTCTGCATGTAAGAGAAACAGAGAGAAGAGAATTTTATTTATTTTTTTTGCCTTTTGTGTCTCACCTGAGGGATAGCCAGGCTGGCAATGGTGAGTCCGGAGATGACGTCAGACCTGAGGAGCCCGACATTGTAGTGGGGGCCCCACTGGAAGATGGGGAAGAAGAGCTGAAGACCGAGAAGCAGCTTTCTGGGGAGGCTGGTCTGGTTGTGGAAGTTGTGAAGTGGGTCGTCGGGGAAGAAGATCTCGGAGACTCTGTTCTTGAACTTCTCGAAAGTCGTCTGCTTTGGAGGCAAGCAAACCTTGTGAATCTCCATTGTTGCTGCTGCTGGGATTCTGATGGCTGTTTCATGGCAGGAAAGATCTTCCACTCTGTTTGAATTTAGACCCATGTTTGGCCTTTTCGCTGCTTGTGTTCTGTTCTGATGCTGGCAAAGAAGAAGAATGAAGAATGAAGAAGGAAAGAAAAAGTTTGATGAGGAATGGGAGTGTGGGATTCCAATTTATAGAGGTTTTTGGCATGGGATGGGAGTGGTAGTAACATGAACGGTTTTGTTCTTATTTTCCTGCGAGGGTATTTTCGTCATTTTGGGTCTTTTGTTTCGTCAATTTCTTAAAAAAAAAAAAAAAAAAATTAAAAAGAAACTCAAGCCATAATTGCTAAACTGCTAGTAGAAAAACGCCCCCTATGATATTAGATAATATCATAAATAACAAAAATGATGCACGGGATTTTTTTTTTTTTTTTTTTTTTGATAAACACACACACAGGAACATAATATACAAATTTAATAGGTAAATCGGCCACAAAGATTTTCAGAAGCAAAACGACACTATAACCGATAATTAGACCTCACTAAATGATCCTATGCAGCATCTACGTAATTGATAATTTAAAGGAAATTTATAAGTACTTAATTCTATTATATATTCATTTTCAAAAGAAAAAAAAAATTCTATTCTATATTAGAAGTGGGGGAATAGGAATTTGCACTGTTTATTATAAACCTAAAATATTTCGGGTTTAAATTTGTGTTTTAGATGAATATATTGCATATAGCAATTTGTACAAAAAAACTTCTTATTTAAGTTAAAAACCGTCCAGGACAGGATGGGAGGTTTTGGTGAGGATAGAAAAGATTAAAAAAAAAAAGTGCGGAATATAATTATTGAATTAATTACCAACTCTGGCACATTGTTGATAAAATTGCTTGCATGTTGTTTCCTTTGGTTTTGGTTATTCTGTATATGGTCAATCTATGTTTTTGGTAGATTAATTTTAGAAGTTCTTTAGCTGTTTTTCCTAAAAAGTAATAAATCTTTTATATGCATTTCTTCAAAAAATGAAATTCACTTTTATGTATATAAATATATATAAATAAGATAACAATCATATAGTTCGTTGGTACATTGATGAGTTAAGACCTATCGATTTTTATACATCATGCTAACTAATGGACCTCAATTTGAATTCACTAGTCGGAGAATTGATTGGTAAATTTTTTTAGTTTTATTTTTACGAATAAAAATTAGAATGAAGAACTTATTTCATATTTATAAAATATTTAAAAATGATTTATTTTTTAGTTGATACAATGAAATGTATAGGTAAATATGAGCTGAAATAAGAACCCGAAGGTTCAATTCAAGATCTGAGAAATTTTATCAAATCGTTACTTACATTGGCACCCCGACCAACATGGACCACTCTTTGATTAAACCTAGCCGTTTAAAGAGGTTTAATTATCCATCAATTTGTGAACCATAATGATTCGTATCTTTCCTTTTTCAAAAGAATAAAAAACTTGAGGGTAAGAACATTTAATTTGTAAGTACTCTCAAAATTAAGATGGGCGTGGATTTACTACTTGGCTTAAATCATATAACTAAAATTAGTATTACTAGTGGAATAATTATATTTTTCTGATCATAATCTTAGAGAAAGAAAAAAGGAAAAAGATCGTATAGCATAAATTTAATTATGATACATATGCATATATAAATAGTTACACAGACACAATATAAGCTTTTTTTTTATAAGTTGACATTATTTATAATTGACTCATGGCCAACCCAGTTATTCAAGCTTTACTTCTCCATATTAAAGACACCTAATTAAGTTTGACGAACAAAAAGTTTTAAAGGACAGTTAATTAAATAATGCAAAGACTTACTCTTTGTTTTTTCTTTTTTTTTTTTTTTAAATTTTTTTCCCTTATTTTCCTCTCTTTGAAAGTGTGTGGAGTTGAGTAATCTATTTAAGTTTAGAGTTGTCTGGGTCATAATATTTGGTAAATTATGTTTACATTATGGGAAGGAATTAACCAAACAAAAAAGATAAAGGAGACTAGGAGTTCAAAGAGTTCAAATTTTCTTATGCTCATTACATGTTCTTTAATTAAGAGTATTAAGATATAGATAAGATTCAGTACTATCCATGCCCCCTCCCCTCTCTTTTTTTTTTTTTCCTGTTATGAATTAATTTAATTAATTCTTGCTTTTTTAAAAA